ATTAATCAATATTTTCAAAACTCAGGTTACGACACTTGAAAGCTTAGGAAAAATGCTAATTTTCATGTCTCCTGAGAAATTTTGGTCCGATGCACCGTTCTCGCGCTATTGATGATTGAAATTTGTTTAGTATTTTGGGGCGGCAGGGTCGAAAAATTGAATTTGTTAAATGTTCAAACACTAAATTCTTCATAACTTTGGTAAAAATTAAGATATTTGAAAAACAAAAATGAGTTTTGAACTTAAAGGATGTGACTATTGATTCCCAGGAGGGAGCAAGAGAAATCCCAAAATTGGGCATACGGCGGAAGGGCAAAGTGTACCTCGGGCCTAATTTCATTGTTTGCCTATAACGGCCAAACTATTTGAATTTTTTAATGCCACTTACAGAGCTTACTCTTGAATATGATATCTTCTGTGTGTGTGAATTTCACTAAAATCGGACTATAATTGGCCATGATATCAAACAATTAAACACATTTTTTCCCTAAAAAAAAACTAAATTATTTTTCGAAAGTTTGAAGTGACATAAAAATGCTAAAAATGCACCCAATAGCTCAAAACTTTTTTTTTTGAGTACTTTATTGTGTCTAGAATACGATTACATTACGGAAAATTCTGCAAAAATATTTTATCTATTTTTTTGACCACTGTTCATTGAGTGACGACCAAAAAATACAGTTTTGAGCTAGTTGCCTAAAATTGGCGATTTTCAGTTTTTTTTGGTCTGAAAATTGAGCAAACCCAAATTTCATGTCTTCTGAATGTGTATATAAAGTTTAAAGTGTGTATGTTTCTTCTAAGTTGTAGAATTCTCCCGACAAAAGTCCCATTACACGCGCTCCGCGGGATCCAAAACTCGTGTATACACTGCATTTCTGTAATTTAATTTTTTTGCGATTTCCAGTTTTAAATTTCTTACATACCTAAATTTATTAGGCATTAAATTTATTAAATTGTATTTTACTGACTTGTTATAAGACGTTTCTTGAGTTTTGTGCAAAATATAGAATTACCGCAAAATTAGCCGCACGTCGGATCAAGGATAGGCATGGTCTCGGCGATCGCTATCCGACAAGTTTAAATTTCAAACGGTCATATTATTACAAATTGAATCGCTTGATAGTGTTCATCGGTATAGATTTTTATTAACCGTGTTCAGCAAGCTCTGTGTACACGTGGTGAGAAATTTAGTTGAGTCGAACAACGACTTGTCGATTCATTCAAAGAAAAAGAAAAAATTGGGAAAGCATTTCAAAAAAAAATTTCCACGTTTTCGTGAACTATTGCAGATTTGCAATGCGATCTATTACATTTGAAATATAACCGAAAACTACGCATTTTTTGTGCTTAGAAAATTGCTCGTAAAACGAGTGCTTTTCTCTTAAATCCAACATTTTCCTTTTTTTTAAGGAAAAACAAGCACACTGTCGATTTTTTCCGTAATTTGGGCACTTTACAGACTGAAAATATATAAGAATCGGTAAGTTTAATGAGAAACAAGCTTACTTTCTCTCCCAATTGCCAGAAAACGCCCCTTTTGTCGAGAAAATTCGAGTAGCTTCAATTCTCGCGAGAATTACCGATCTTTGCACACGTGCGCTTAGAAAACAGTGGATGCTAGAAAAAATGTATATGCCACAGTTTTTCGTGTCTTTTTTTCTCTTTCATTTGATGGAAACAGTTTTCTATTCAGATAATTAGTTTTCAAGTTATTTAAGAAAAAAGTACGAGAAATCAAGAAAAAATTGTTTTGCAATTTTTTCAAAAAGTATTGCAGATTTCGCCACCCAACCCGTCTCATTCGGAACGTAACTAGAAAATACGTATTTTTGTCATGTATATATATCTTCTCCCATTTCAAGTTTTCTTGTAAATAACTAAAACCAGATGTTAGAGAACAAAAAACAAGCTTATCAATAAGTTGGAACTTACACTCAGGCTTAGGATTAATTTCCTAACATTTTTAAAGTATACCTTCTTGTGTATTTTTTTGGACTCTTTCCGATGGCGAAGTTAGTTTTTCAAATATATTTTTTTGTTAGATATTTTCGAAAAACCCGGAGAAAATCATATGGGAAAAAAATTTCAAAAAAACTACGCCTTCCGGTTTCCTGCGAATTCCCGAAAAATTATGGCAGATTTCGCCGCGGGACTTATTTTATTTGAGAGCCAACAAAAAAATACGCAACTTCTCTCATGGGCACATATGTCTAACATTTATAATTTCGCCACAAATTCATCGCAAATTTCATGTCCATGGTTCTGATCAAAGAAACGAAAAAACATCTTTTTAGTAAAAGCACTTCTGGTGGCGAGAAATTCGCTATTAAAACTACCTGTGCAATGAATTTCCGAACTATTTTTGCCTCCTCTTTCGATTGGTGCATTTATTTTTACTATCAGAATGATACTTGCCTAGATAATTAGCATTTTTACCATGGAAAATTCCGGAAAACCCAGTTTTTCCTAATTTAAAAAAAATTGAACAACAGCTACATCTTTTTTTGCTTTTTTTCGGAAAGATCACATCAAAATACATAAGGTCCACTTGGTTTCATCCAATTACAAATTAATGTAAGCTCGAAGGGGCTTTTTTTCGTTTTAATTGGACTATAAAGCGAAATTATTTGTACACATATAAGTAGAAACCTGCATGACAGAATTTGTTCCGAAAATGCATCGATATGTTAGTCCAAACAACCTACACTTACTCTATGTCCCAATAGTTATGACTTACCCTGTATATTAGTAGCGACTATCTTATAGAGGCAGGTAAAGGTCCGCGCCCAATGTACATGTTATGAACACATTCTCTTTTAAAGATACAGGTAAAGGAATTATTTTTGGGCCCAATTTACAACCGTCCCGAACATGAGGATTCTGACCTACCTGGACGGTATGGAATGACAACTCACAAACGCTTTTGAAAACATTTCTATATTTTAAAGACCAGATACAAAGGCGAATATATGGAAAAATGTTTACTATTTTAGGCAACATTACAATGCTCGAAAAATTGCAATTATCGAGCTGTATAGAAAGAAACTAAAATTAACAAAGTATAAAAAATTGACAAGAAAAACTTTATTTGATACGAAATTTGCAATGACAGGGTACAATTAAATCTTAGATATGACGTTTAGTTTCAATTTTTGCACATGATATGCAGATATGAAAAATTGTTTAAAATAAAGTGTGAACATTCTTTATCTTCAATTTATTTTCTTAACATTTTTTTATTAGATGGACCGTATTCCCTCAAGCATAGTTTATCAGGTTTCAGATCCCACCTTATATTTTGCCAGAGAAATATCTAATTTTACTGGAAAGTGTGATAGGACACATCATATATTTATAGATGAATAATAGTCGAAAACTACCTACCTTGGGCATTCTTTTGTAATTGTTTTTTTTTGCTTATAGGTTTTTTTTTTTTCGGAAAAATTCAATGTGGCAATGTTCAGGGGGCTTATTCTCCAAGCAGCGTTTTTAAACGCTCTCGGCGCGTGTCCCTAGTAATAAACTTAAAAAAGTATGAAGTTTGTACTGGATTTTAAGTCATGTAATAACTTTTATCACGACTAAAATTTTCTGAGAACTTAACATTAAAAATGTTTTCTATAAAGCCCAGACATTTTTCGTCACACTTTATACAAAAATACAGTGGCGGCTTGTGCATTAGTGGAGTAGAGCTGCAGAGCTGCCAAAAGAATGCAAGTATCTCTTCTACATGTCACAGAAATTGTTAAGACATTCTAAAATATACGCAAAATAGATTTTATGGATAATCTCAGAATTTTAATTTAATTTTAATCATTAAATAGTAAATGGTGTATGTGCACTGCACCGCTTGGGCCGCTCGCGCTCTTCGTCTCCTTTACTTCTTCTAGTAGTCTTGATAGGCTTATGCCTATCAAAAAAGATTAATCAACAAGTTTTCGAACAGCGAAACTTTCTCGTAAACAGTATTTTGATAAAAAATAAAGAAAATGTGTTTTAATACACCTTTTTTTAAATTTTTGATCAAAATACTGTTGCCAAGACGTAATCGCTGTTCGTAAACTTGTTAATTAATATTTTTGACAAGCATAAGCCTATCAAGACTACTAGAACATCTAAAGGAGACAAAGAGCGCGGGCGGCCGAAGCGGTGCAGTGCACCCACACCATTTATTATTTCATGATTAAAATTACGACATTATCCAGAAAATCTATTTTACGTATATTTTAGAATGTCTTAAATATTTTCTGTGAAATTTAGATGAGATACTTGCAATTTTTTGCATCTCTATTGCACTTATGCAAAAGCCGCCACTGCAAAAATATCCATTACTATGAATAATTTTCATTTCTTATTGAATTCATATTATAAATTTAACTAATAATCTCACGAATGATGCTCTTTCGCTCATATTATCCAGTTAAACGTATTTAAAAATAAGCTTTCATACTATAACGTTTTTGTACGTATTTTTTAGAAACCTTGGGGACCTGTTTCCTGCCGAACACACCTTAGTCAAGGTTCTTAACACCCTAATGTTCTTATCTACTATAATGTACAATCACCTTAACTTTTATACTATAACGTATGCCTGGCGGTCGCAGGTTCTTATCTTAGTTTTTGAGACCTGTCAGAATCTACGATTTAAAATTATGAAAGTTTATCTAAAAAATGGAAATCACTAGCATGACCGTCTAGCATTAGAGAATACTATAATCGCATGCTTGTCGCTTTTTTTTTTGTTGACAGCGCTTCGTTAAGATGTCTGCTTGGTGCTTTCGCGGCTATACCTTTTCGGTTGAAAATTAACCCCCTAATTGGTGTTTAGCACCTTCAAAAACATTTTTATAAGCTACTGAAAAATTATTTCCTATTTTTTGCAAGGTCCATGCACTGTATGATTGAACTATTAATGATTTAACGTTTTTCTATCGACAAACAAACCTATTCTCTATTATAACAAGTTGTTTTTTAAGCTAAACAATATAAATTCTTACCGACTAGCTCCGGATACTCCTCGATACCGGCAATATTAATATATTTCCTATGACTAGTACGCGAATCTTCACTTATTCTACTGAGTATTGGCGGCAAAATAGCCGCTGCTGCCTCTGAAGTTGCTCCCAGACCTCCCCTATGTTCGGGACTTTCTGGTTTCCATTCATTGTCCGTCGTTTCTTCGCTGTCATCGAATTGCGACTTCCACTGGCTCGCCAGAGTTAGCGCACCTCCTCCTCTTGTCATCTGGAAATTAAAAGGAAAACGTTGATACCATTTTGCCACTAATTATTTATTTTTGATACATTGAATATCTATTTTTATCTCTAATCGAAAAAAATGTTTAAAAATTTTACGGCAATGTAATTTTTAAAAAATGAGATGTCATTAAAACTCGCGGTCAATTTTCACTTCCCAAATTCTTTTATTGTTAAGCATTATTTAAGAACAGTGTAAAACACAAAGAGCAGAAACAGTGCAAAGATAAAATTCATTAGGGTTTTACACCACCATCGGAATTAAGCAAATAAGATTAGATAGATAATTTATCAAGTAAAATAATAGAATGTGTTCCATATAGGAATGCAGAGGCGTTTCAAATTTAATCACAACAAAGGGTTAATATTGCGATTAGACTTAAATAATATATTCTGTATTCATACATTTATATAGACATAAAAATGTATGATTTTAATTAATTTGTAAAACGTAATATGAGAATCTAACCTAACTTTTTTATGTACGTAATTTTTTATTAAATTTATTTACGAAGATATGTTTAATTTATACTTTATGCATCATTTCTTTTAATAATTTTTCAATATTACTCATGCATATAAGTAAATAAGAAATTGCAAATTGAAATTTTTTACCTCCCTTTTTCAACAATATAAAATAAGTAGAACATTTTATTACAATTAGGTGATCCCTTCATGCGAGAAACAGTTTAGGAATGGTAACAAAATAAGCCTTTATTTTTGGAATTTGCTTATGAATTATGTAAAAAGTCGCAGTTATTTATTATTTTTTATGTTACATTAATGTCCATTTCCACAATTTCAGTTTTGTAGGAAATAATACACACGTTCTTATTTAATTATTGTTATCTTGTTCAGGATAAAAACGATATAAAATATTAATTTCCCTACTTTGTTTTGATGAAATATACACCCCCCTAACTAGCAATGAAGAAGTTATAGGTACATTTAAAAGTTCTACTGTATTGTCTCTTATGCTGCCGTGCATCAAATAAGCATATTATATTTAAAGTTAAACCAGGGGCGTGCGGTCCATGGAAGCGGGGGAAGCACCGCTTCCCTACACTTTGAGATTTAAAAATAAATATTTTTCAGTTTACAATGCATAGAAATTATTATTAAATTAGGTACTATATTTTCTCTGAAACATTACGTAAACTTCGTAAATGTACTAACAATTCATTGGTGTAATGTGTAAACGCACGCACCACCCATGACAAAATTGATTGTGTAAACGCACACCATATACTTCGAGTCCGTCGGCGGAAGCGCCTCTTGAAAAAGCCGGCTCATCTTCCAATTGATTTCGCTTCGTGCTATTGACCCTGCTTTGCCGCGACAGTGTCAGTCTGTTTGGACACGTAAAATACGGTGGAGAGGCAGCGATTTTTACGTCGCCTTAAGCATATTGCAATTCGCACCGCGAATCGACGTGTGAGGAAAATCGTAGACTTCAGATAGATTTCGGTTTGTTTTTCGTCGTTGTTCTTCTTTTTGTAAAATGGAGGAACTATGCACTGTGCCTGTGAGCAATAATAATGTGGTAAATTGTGTCTGTACTGTGTGCTCTTTATTGAAAAAAGGATTTTCAAGTACAAATTTTGAAGAGAGAACGGCCATTATTAATTCTAGTAGACTAAAGGATCCTATCAATTTAGAGACGAAAGTAGAAAAGTCAGCAAAGAAATTTACCAGGCATTTTCACGTAGGGTTCTATGAAAAGTATGAATTGTTAACCGGCTGCAAAACTCAGTCGGTATTACAGACTTAAATAATTTTCACAAAAGTGTAAAACGACATGTAAATAGCAAATCTCATATAAGTGCTACAATTAAAGAAAAAACATTCGGGACCTATTGCATTGAACATAGTTTCGATAATCATTTAAAAATAAGCAACACAATTCACAATGAAAGGGTAAAAAAAATAGGGACGTCTTACAACGAGTAATAGTTGTAACTTGTTTCCTGGGAGAGCATCAACTAAGTTTTAGGGGTCACAATGAAGCAAGTGGAACCGCCAATCGAGGAAATTACATGGGCCTTCTAAGTTTTTTAGCAAAATACGATGATACCTTAAAAAATTATTTTATTGATTCGACGACTTTCCGACGTACCTCAAACAGAATCCAAAATTATTTAATTAAATGCACTGCCGACGTTGTGATGGATCACATTAAAAGTGAAATTAAAAAAGCACCTTTCGTATCAATTGCGCTTGATGAAACCACAGATGTAGCAAACTTAAGTCAATTATCCATTGTTGTGCGATATGTATTGGATGGCATTCCTCAAGAGCGATTCTTAGGATTTTTGGACGTCACTAGCGAACGAACTGCAGATGCATTGTTTGAAATTATTTGTGACATTATTTCAAGTTTAGAATGTGGTTCTAAGCTTGTTGCCCAGAGTTACGATGGTGCTGCCGTAATCGCTGGCCATTTAGAAAGCCTTCAAGCTAAAGTGAAAGAGAAGTTTAAACATGCAATTGTCGTTCACTGTCTAGCACATAGACTTAATTTGGTTTTATCGCGAAGCATGGATAATATTAAAGATTGCAAAGTTTTCTTTTCGACGCTTAGTGGTTTGGCTTCCTCTTCTTCAAAGTCATCGAAAAGAACTCGCTCTTTGGACATTCACGTTCAAAAAAGGTTTCCAAAAGTTGCTCCGACGCGATAGAACTACAATGGACGTTTAGTGCAAACAGTGTTTCAATACCGTGATTCTTTGATACACTTTTTTGAAGATGTTTGGGATAATAAAGAAATATGGGATGCTGAAACTGTTACTGTCGCTAAAGGGTATTTGCATTGGCTCAAACAAAACTTTGATTTTAATTTTTTGCAGAGATTTTCCCTTTTACTGACATTTTATTCGACATTTTACAGACAAAGTCAAATGACATTGGCTTTTTCATTAAAAAAATTGATTATTTTAAAAATAAAATGAATAAAAAACGAGATCAGTTTGAACACTTTTGGAATAAGACTCAAAACATTGGCTTAGAACCTGAAAGAAAGAGAATTAGAATTGATAATGTCGGCGACAGAGAGACCTCCTATCGTCGATTATACGCCGCAATTTTTGATAATATTTTACAACAAATAAACTCTCGATTTCAAAACTTTAACGAATTAAAATTTGTTGAATTGTGCAATTTTAATATTAGTAACTACGATTCATCAAAATTTCCATCGGAAGCTTTTAATTCACTAAAATTAAATTATGGAATTTTTTTCGATATTCCAGCATTAAAGTCCCAGTTAAGTATTGTTTATGAAACAACTGAAATTAGTGATAAGAAGACGCCCATCAATGTGTTAAATTTTCTTATAACAACTGGTTTAAATAAGCCCCTTTGTGAAGTCGTCAAGTTGTGTGAATTAGTACTAACCATCCCAGCCACAAGTGCGTCAGTTAAGCGAAGTTTTTCATCTTTAAAGCGCATTAAAAGTTTTATACGAAATTCAACAAGTGAAGACAGACTCTCTAATTTAGCCCTAATATCCATTGAAAAACAGTTTGTTAAACAGTTATCAGAAAATCCAAAATTTTACGACGATGTTATAGACAAATTTGCAGCCATTGAGGATAGGCAAATAGATCTCAATTATAAATAAATGTAAACTGCTGTGTCAACTGTGCAAAAAATGCTGGAAAAAATAAAAAAAAATTCAGTTAAATGATTTTGTTACGTTTAAATAAACCAAGGAAGCTTCTCAATGGTAAGTTTTTTTATAGCTTCTAGTACTAAACTAGGTAATAAAGTAATAGTAAAACTTAAAAATCTCAATCTCGAATATCCGTAGTACTGAGGAAAAAAAGCAAGATTTGGACAAAATGGTGAATGCACCGCAAAAAATTTTAGCCTGGGGCACTGTGCTTACTGGCGTGCTGTATTTTTATACAATCGCTTCCCCTTCCAAAAATGTCAGCGCACGCCACTGAGTTACAGGAATTTCTGAAAATCAATAGGGTTCACTGCTGGAATAAATTATCAAGTAAAGTTGAAAACAGTAGGTCGATCGGAACTTTTGTTCGAGAGTTATCGGTTAGTGTACATATGTGCGTACAGACGTCCAGATGATTGTTTTTTATTTAAAACTTCTGAATTCAAAGCAGTATTCAAATAAAGATATATATTCGTAAATAACTGGAAAACATGTTATTAACACCGTGTTATTAATCTACTCAATAGTCAATATTATTCACATTTACGAAATTCCCATCCTCTGCATTCTTATATAGGTCGCATTTTATAATGATGAAACTTTAAAATTTTTCAATATTACATATTTTCTTTATCACTTGCTTGTTTTTACACCGTTCCTAATCCACTTTTACACTGTTCTTACCTAATAAAGTTATTTCTCGAATTAGTTTTTTATCCTTACATTTATTTGTCTTCCTTCGTTTGCATTAATATTTACAGATTTTAATCTTCCAGACAGCAAACTGCTACTACAATCCTTCTTATCCTAAAATCCCCATAGAATTACGCTAAACATACATTTTTATACCTAGATTCCAGATGGTAAAAAGAGACTTTTATTAAGAAATTCAAGTCATTTTTTATTTTAGAAACCAAAGCCAAAGCGAAATAAAAGAAAGACAGAAGTAATAGATACATCTCTTTAGAGAAGAAGATAGAAAATTAACATGGTAACATCAGCCTTCCAAATAATATGATACAAACAACATTCTCAAAAGAAATGGCTTAAACACATAATCGGTTTCTTATTTTTGGTTAGAGTTCAGACAATAACTTAAACTTTTCTAGTTTAACCGAAAATTAGGATGAGCTTGAATTGCAAAGGCTACACTGCCAGATGTCCAGACCAAATGGTAGATTTACTAAAAATTTATTTTAGAGAAATTTGATTGGTCTCTACATTTTCAAATCTTTCTAGAGACATCACATAAATATGCTAGTTTCTACTGATAATAACGCAACAATGATGTCCACACATCACAGGATATAATTATTTGGAGTGTTAAATTTAGATTCCAAACATAGACATCACAAACAGACCTTGGTGGATCATGGTATAAAAAATAAAAGGTAGGATATCAAAAGTGTCAAAAATAGGACGGCCACGCGCATAACGTCACGCGTAGAGTTTGTATAGGCGCAAATTTAAAAATACTGATGAAGTGCGAGGAAAATATATTCTACTTACAAAAAGTTAATGAATATTAAGGATAATATTTTAGAAATTACATGATATATCTATGGATATTATTATAGGATACTTAAGGAAAGAACTATAAAGGAACATAAATGCAAATACATACATAAAAGAAGTATTTATTTGAACAGTTTTTTCCTTTTTCTTTTTTAATGAATTATTATGGTTATACAAATTCGAATTCTAAAGAATATTTTTTATAACCAGGATAATGAAAAGGGTATCTTCGCAACTTCAAACTGGGGATCTCGGTAACAATTTTACATCTGGATATACCGGAAATTTTTATCTGATTACTCATTTACCTGCATTAAATTACCCAATTGAATAAAAATAAGTTTTAAAAAATATGTAGACAATATAATATAATGCAAAGCATAAAAAAATGTACGAAATACAAATAACAGCTACATAACATATTGTGGGTGCATATACAAAATTAAAATAAAATGTCACTGCAATTTTTTTAATTCATTTATCAAGTACAAGTCGAAATTTTCTCTTTTTTTGCAACATTTGCAATTTCACTTTTGCTTATATTGCGAAATTTTTAGCATTCAAAGGGCAGAATCTCCAGTTTATAAGTCCCAAGTTGCGATTGAACCAATGTGAAGTTCTGGTTGGAGGTTCCTCTTATAATTGGAAGATTGAAAGTGCTTGGAATACATATGAAAATTTATTTGCAGGGTTACAAGCCACTGCAAGGGCTGCTCCATGTCGAATATTCTTGGGAGGGAGGGTATAATTGCCTATTTAGCATAGTTTTTTTTAATAAAAGGCTCATGGATTTTAATAATTTTAATCTAGGGAACGGCATGCTTCCCTGAGCCTCCACTGGAGCCGCCCTTGGGCCACGCCTTACTTCTGACTGAGCTCTTACTGTCAAAGAAAGCGAAAACCATAATATTTTTCTTGAATCCTTTGCTTTAATTGTTACTGTTACATCCGTACCGCAATTTTTCAAAGTTTTTTACTAAAAGCACTCAGAGAGAACAAAGTTTACAACATAATATAATACAAATATCTGTTTAATACCTTATAAATTACTATAAACGACTCCCAAACTACTGCAACATGCGTCTGTCATATGATATTTATTTCGCGCCAACTCTACTAACTCTACGCATGACGTCAGCGCCGCCATGACACCATGCGCGATATCCCCCCCTGTTGGTGGATGTAAAATATACTATACCATCATAAACCTCGAAACAAATTAGACAAAGTCAAACACATGGCATAAAATCAAACGCAGAGGAAAAATAAAAATGAAATAGAAAATTAAAGGTTGAAGACGTTCTTACATATTTTCTATTTGGAAAGCAACCATTGTTCCCAAAATAAATACGAACCAATAGATACTTACTTGCTGACTAACATTCTCGTCATCCATAACGGCAAATTGAGTCAAACTTTGATCCCTCATACCGGACCGCGAACTCCTGGCGGCCGAGGGCTGTCTCCTTCTTGGTCTCTCTTGCTCTGGCGTGGCGGGGGATTCCACCAGACTTCCAGTTTGCGTGGGAGCTGCGACTGGCGTGACGACCCGCAACCGTCCTAACGTAGCGACGCCCGATTGGCTCTTGCGTAACGGAGCCGCTTTAACGGCTTCGGATGAGGATTTGGCCGAGGCTACGGCATCGTTATCCAGTCTGTCTGGAGGTTGGTCTAGGTGAGATGTTGCTCTTCGCTTACGGGCTGAAAAAAGTATAAACATAAGTTCGATAATAAATAAAAGATTACACTTATCCATGAAAAATAAAAGAACCCTATACCAGTCTGTATACGGAATTGAACTGTGGAGCTATAGTTAACCATCCAACGCCATGGTTCTTTAAATGTTTCAATCAAAAATGTTCAGAACAATAACTACCGCCCCATGGTATCTACCAGAAAATACTCAAAATTGGCCAAAAATCAACTTCAACAATAAAATAAATGAATCTTTTATTTTTAAATTAAAATGATCTTTATCTATTAACTCGTATTATTTCTTCAGTTTTTTAAGTATCAAGGTAATTTGCTATACTAACTGGCTTTTATATACTTCCAGCTCTTTTACTGTAAAAATTTCATTCTTAACTCCGAAAAAATTTTGAAACATTAAATTCTTAACAAGAATAAATTGGAGAAGTCATTTGACAATGTGACTAAATTAAAAAAAAAAAAAAAAAAAAAAAAAGAGAAATAATGATTTAGCAGAGCTTCAAAAAAAAATTATTCAAGTTAAAAATGATTTCTTTCAAAGTTTGAAAGATTTGAAAGCTCCTCTTTCGACCCTCAGAACTAAACGCAACAAGTTTGTTGCGTTTAGTTATAACAGTGATAATAGATATGCAGATAAATAAAATTAGGTTACAAGGTTCTTACGAAATTGCATGGTAGGGAACACATGGGGGGCTTAAACCAAGTATGATGATGCACTGGCTTTATACTATGGTTGTAGTACCTATCATATGGTTGCACAAGACTAAAAACATAACCTCTACAGGTACAGAGACTAGCGTGTCTAATAATAACAAGAGCATTTAGAACTACGCCCACTGCAGCAATGGAGCTACTGCTAGGTCTTCCCCCATTACACCTTGTGGTGGAGAAGGAGGCTATGGCGGCTGTTTACCAATGTTATGGCATGGGGACTTTCGAGAAAAGGACACCACACAATTATAGAGAAATTAAAATAAAATTCGGTGTTAAGAATGCCATCGGATAGAACGCCTATTATTCATGACTTTAGAAAATCTTTTGATATTCAAATACCAGAAAGGACCAAAAGCCGGGAAAATAGGGAAATACATAACGAATCAATCTGGTATACAGATGGTACGAAAATGAACAACAGCACAGTAGCTGGGATTTACCATGTGAACTCAGGGAAGACCATTAGTATAAACCTGGGGTCACTGACAACAGTCTTCCAGGCTGAAGTAACAGCAAAATGCCTGCGCCAAAGTTATGCTAAATGACTCTTTTAGGGATAAGAGGGTCTTTATCATGATAGACAATCAGACAGCACTTATAGCACTGAAAAGGGTAGAAGTACAATCTAAATTAATATTTGATTGCCAACAGTCACTCCAGGCCCTGGTAGAACATAACAAAGGCACCCTTGAATTGGTGCCAGGACATGAGGGGGTGGTTAGAAACGAGAAAGCAGACCTCCTAGAGCCAGGAAGGGAGCGGAAAAGCTCTAATTGGACCAGAACCCACATGTGGTATTTCATACCAACATGTTAAATGGGTGGTAACGAAACAAATAAATGAAGAAAATCATAGGCTCTGTTGAGAATTTCCTGGACTTAGATTGTTCAAAATATTCATAGGGTCCATCCAAGAGTAGACAAAATCAATTGCTAAACCTCTTTACGGGACACTGCAGCCTTAGAAGATACCATAATCTCTTAGGGATATCTGATAACTCCCTATGTGATGAGGAGGACGAAACTCCTATTCATATACTATGCCATGTCGAAACCTTAAATGGGAACGAGAATGGCACTTAGGGGTACAATATCCGGAATCTGAAGAAATCGTGAAAACCCCATCAGACATTCTTGAATTCATCGGCATATCCTTGGATGTACAGCCCTTGATTGTTTAGTGTTTTCAGCAGTTCATCTGCCACTAGGTTCCACAGTAGAGGAGACAGGACTCCACCCTATGGGCATCCCCTGTGGATATTCATCTTGAGCATAGATACCACACAGTTAAATCTCGCATCCTGGATGTTTTTTCAAAAACACTTTGGGAACAATATTTGCGTTTGTATTTTCGTTTTTTTAGGCAAATCATTTGTAAAATAGTTAACATTTTTTGGTAATTTTTTCACAAGTCTATTTTAATAAGATATGAACTAAAAATTCGAAAACATCGTCAAAACATTATAAAAGTCAGTAACCATTTGTCGTTTCTTATTTTTTAAACTAAATTTTGCCTTTGGGTTGTAAGAAATTCAGGCCAATTAGTTAATTTAATTTCGCGCATGCGCAATATACTTTTTCACTTTTGAAAAGTGTATTTGGACTAGTCAATTTTTCAAACTAGTACGTCGAACTCATCACTAGGAAAAAATGATTGCATTGTTTTTTCGGAAAAGCTGGCCATGTTGCAACTGTTATATGATAGAAGAACACTGATATACTTTCAATGTTTACCGGAAGTTATTATTGAAATCAGAAGAAACAACGTAAACCGGCGAACCATTCTTCATCAACACAACACACCAAGACGTACTGTCGAGTTTCTGACAAACAATTAATAGCTCATTTTTAATAGAGCATTTTTCGTGACCTGAAGAGGCAGTTGATTTAAATCACTTGTTTCGGAGATACCTTGCGCACGTGTGGAAAAAGTGTTTTGAAGACTGGTTTAAGAGCAATATTTTGAGAAGCGATTTACCTAACTTAATTTGTGTTTTATTTTAGCAGTCCTCCTCATATTAAAAAGCGATATCTGTCCGTTTAATGATGTGACTTACCTTGCACTTGATCAACTGCAGTTGCATTACAATTCTTATCAACCGTAGCTCTGGTAGGATTTATTTGCGTATCTGTGACTAGAGGAGCTGTATTTTCTGTTTCTATACGTCTTCTGGCATCGAGTTGTGCCTGAAAGAAAATTTTATGATCCATTTTAGTAAATAAAAATAGTTCAATGTTAATTATTACCCAGAGCAAAACTGTTTTATTAAAATATTTAACAAGATTTTTTTTTCATTTTGGCAAGAACGAATTTGGGATGAAATTAAAGGGACTTTTTAGATGTATTAATATACTTGAAGTCTAAAACTTCGTTAGTTGATACATTATTAAAACCGGAAACTAATTTTTCAAAGGAATCATAATATAACTTCACAGAATTGTCCGGAAAGTGCAAGTAAATATAAATATAAAAGAAGAAGATTCAATCAGAGGATCTAGAACTAGTGTCAAGTACTTGGGAACAAATTTTAAAGCAGTTGGTCACAAAACAATACATGGAAAAATAGAATAGAAAAGAAAAATTAGAGTGTAGTAATTATATTATAGACATTTACGATTAACCAATTCGGCGGATTTCAGTTGATACGTCGAGAAGAGTTCTGAAGATGGCTGCCGAGGTTGCAGCTAAAACGTTTGGTAATAACCAAGAAAGACCACGGCATAACAGTCCGGAAACAAATAATTACAATCGTCTGTAACTTCCTTATAAAAACTCGTGGAACGAATGGATCTAATTTTGAAAGTTTAAATCTCTTTGCATATACATATGTTTAAGAAAATAATTATAATATCATGTCGACCATTGCGAATTGGTAAAATAGGTTCAAATATTCAAAAATAGTTCGAAAATTATAAGTTTAAATGGAAAAAGGTTCTAAAGTTCAAAACCACAGAAGTTCGAATGGAAAAATTCGAAATTGCAAACGTTCTAAAGTCTTACAGAATATTTTTATCACGGAGTATATTATATAATGTACCATTTGCCTTATTGCATTCTTTACCCAAATTTCAATAAAGGTCTTGTTTCTTCCTGGGGGCTTTTTCGGATGTGAGACTTCTCTAATAACTGTATATTCTTTAATAATGTAAAAACTGTCCACTTAGATACTCCAGTATCGGTCTAACATTTAGTGGCTATTTCATCCACGGAAAGCGAAACAAAGTCTTTTCGAAGATTATTAAATACATTAAGTACGATATTTTTTTCCTTTTAAACGTCTTAGCGCCAAAATCTTGGTTTGTCCTTTGCCAAGTCTATAATTAACATAGAAATTCATGAGAAATGTTCGTAAACTGGAAGATTAGAAAATGTTCTTCTATTCGATTCTGAAACATTTTTTTCAAACATTTTGAAACATTTTTTTTTCAAAATGGCTTATGGATGGCACTTAGATATACCCCAAACATATTTTTTCTATTATATTCCGTTCACGGCGAAATATATGGCCGGTAAAAAAGAATGCAGTAATCAATTCATTGAACTTTACATTTCTGGACGACAAGAAAAAAGGCTGCTATTTCCACTTTAGACAGTGCATATCAAAGTTTGGATTTGATGAAAAATTAATGATAGTTAATCTGAGTTTCAGCAGTGTGTAAAACTTTTTGTGATTTTAGCTACTGACCCTTTAAAATCTGCATGAACAGCAAAATCAGAACAAAACCATTATTTGAGCAAAAATTATGGAGTTATCATGATAAAGGAACTTCCAAGAACCAATGATTTTGTTGAAGGGTGGCATTTTAGCTCACAGAGAATTATACAAGCCAATAACCCAACTATATTGAAATGTCTTCAAGGTTAAATTGAGGAACATAATCTGCAAGAATTAACGATTAATCAACAGTAAGCTGGATTTTTGTGATGGACAAAAATTTAAGACTAGTTACGATTGATAGAGATGGAATTAACAAATTTAAATTCAATAAATAGTAATAATCGCTTCCCGATGCTATATTAATACAGAATATAAACTGACATAAAAAGGGCAATAGAATATAATGTTACGCAGCTCCCTGCTAGCCTGCGGCTATTATTGGAAAAGTACAGATAGAAAAAGAAGTGAAATGTTACTCATCGCACTACGGTGTGCTGCGGTCGTCATAAGTAAAAGTACAAGTAAAAGAAGATAGAATAGTCCAGAAATTTCATTATCCGTCAAGAATATTCTAGAAGACAGTTCGAGAAGGGTCAAGCAAGCTATATAAGGATGATCCTGACGTCAGTTTTCAGTTTTATGATAGTCCTGACATGTTAATGTTATCAGTTGTATAATTGTTGTTAAAGTCGAGTTGAAATAAATTGAGATACCAAGAACCTGCGTAACAATAAAGTAAGATACTTTCTTTTGCAGGAATTGCTATATTAAAATTTCGTACTTTTTATTTCGAACTTTTGTATACGAACTTTTATAATACCGAAAGTTTGCTATTCGAAATTGTCTAATTCGAATTTTTGTTTTTTTCACACTTATTTCACCAACTCGACCATTTCAAATAAACTACTTTTCTTAAAAATTAAACCAAAACCCATGCAAAAAAAAAACAAAAAAGGTTATTACAGTTATGCAAGGTGCTGACCTCTTTGTTGTCAGTAGGTTCGATGTTCTCTTGGTTATTATCGGTAGTTGTGGTATGTCTGGTGTGACGTGGAACGGTCGTGGGGGCCATCGCTGGCTGAGTTGTCGTGGAAACTGTCTGCGGAACCGGCTGGTTGTCGGTTTGCGTCGGTTTCTCCCAGTCGTAGGGGTCGGTTTCCTTGACGCCCCTGCGCTTCATGCAGCGCTCGAAGAGCCCTATCAACATCTAAAACGAAAACGCAGAACATTAGTGAAATGCAGACTACAATAACAATAAAATCAACTCGCATTAAAACTACTTAAAAAACCATCAAGTCGTAGGTTAAAACGCTGTGTTCCCAGGACATTCGCCTAGTTCGATAAAATCAAATTTTCCTAAGGGAATGTAAAACATTAAACTCGCCTGATAATCCGGTTTGTCAGCGTACTCCAAACTCTGGATGTGATCCAGGAATTGTTTAAGATCGGACGGCAAATGTTTTAACAATAACCTGTGATCGTATTTCTCCTTCATCAGTCCAACTTGCTCTTTGTCTTTGACTTTTCGCCAAGGCAGCTGGCCATTCACAAATTCCACTAACATGTAGAATAGACTCCAGAGGTCGTCGTGTCGACCCATTTCTAAATAAAAAATCAAAAACAAATTGTAATGAGGATAACAAAATTAAAATACTGAATAAAAGAAAGCTCAATAATTGTGCTAATCATATTTGTATATAGGAGACTCAAAATAAAGAACTGAAGATAAAAAGTTATGGAGAGAAATAAATTAAGTAGCATTACTGATTAATGCCTCCAAGACATGTACATCATAATAATTTTTGTATTTATAAGTGAATTGGAATAAATATTTATGTCACAAACCTCTATTTTTATGTGCATTAATGCTGGCGTAGCGTACGGTGCCCCGAAAACCAGCGGCCGCACGTGGTGCCCTCACTTCACCTGTTGCCGTCGTATATTGCCGGGCAAGACCAAAATCTAACATATACACTTTTCTACAGTTATACGGTAGTCTGCCCATTGAAAAATTACTCTGAAAAAAAAAAAACATTTATTAATCAACAATAATTTTGCCATGCGGCAAGTCATTAAATTTGAAATAATTATTTTGCTTTCTTAAATGTATCAGAAGAGAAATAACATTTGTAAATGAAAAACTCTCCGCAAGATAGGTGACGCGTTTGTTTAGAGCTGTTTTAAAGACAAACATAAGAATTTCACGTCCTTTCACCACTAACAATCTGAAATGAAAGAACAATCAAATAATAGAACTTCCTTCAAGAAACCGAAAAAGTTTAGAAAGATTATTGAGTTTTTTTAATTTATAAAATCGCATTAACCACCTAAGATTATTAGCGGAGTAATTATTATTATTGGACTTTACAGCTATGAATTATTTGTTAGTAAGCCATCCCTGGTGTTCAATATATTTTCCGTTAGTTGGCAGGGCTAAATGTTGTAGCTCCCTAAATTCATGTATTCGGGCTGTCAGATCAGGATTCGTCGTTCGTTGGTCTCAGATGCGGTATTTTTACAAGAAAGTGGACTACGAAAATGTCCGCCTTGCTCCTATGTAGTGTGTAGAATGTAGACAGTAAGTACGTTTATTGATTTATTCGAGATGCTGTTGGAAAGCAAGGTAGTTGCTTGTAGAAGCATAAACTTGTTTACCATCATTGTTTTATACTTAATAGTCGTAATTGGTTGTGTATTTTTGGCTGGCTGAAAAATGTCATAATAAATCTTTCGGAAGGTCTTCTTTACTACCTATTTAAAACCTATCAGGCAGGCAAGGTTCATATACAAGACGTTTTTCAAGGCAAGTGTATAATAAAAACAAGTAGATACGTGTCTTAACGAATTATAATAAATTATAAGATAAATGTGAGGAAACCATTACTTGTACACAGCACCGGCAATTTTGAAGAAAAAGTACTAGAGCACAAGTACTTAGGCGAGGATAAATAAAGTAAACAGGGACGGATTGCCAGATTTTGATTGGATCACCTAAAGTTCTTTGGTAAGTTCTGATAAATTTTATATAATTAGGTTCAAAGTAGTCCCCACTAGACTAGGCCACAAGCCGCCACTTCGCTGGTCACAGATGAACCCATGAGCGCGGCAGATCAGATATGCCTGTTCTTTAATTATTTTAGCTTCATATAAATGCTTTGCCAGATTTTGTTTCAGGAATTTAATATTTTTAGTTTAAAAATCCTGTCTCGACAAAAGGATGGTAGCTGTGTAAGCTGAATAATTCCTGTCTATATTATTTTATATTAATATCCACAGAAAATTTACTTCTAAATTCGATTTTTGAATTTTGTAAAGCACTTCTTTAATACATGCAATAACTGGGTTACTTGGGTACACATTTTTGAGAAGTAGAAGAGAATTAAGGCAGCAGATAATAATAATTGAATGTTTAATTGATTTTGGATGAGTTCATTTTAACGCCTCTAGGATAGCGAAAAGTATCTTTGGAAGTAACAAAAGCGGCGCCTATGCCCATGTATGATTTATTGGTATCAGTAAAGACTTTTGTGTAGAGTGGGAATTGTAATGTTGGATTATATTGATGGAAGAGTATTCATTGGGTATTCATTTTAGGAATGTTTATGGATAAGTCACAGTGGTTTTGAGGGGGATGATTTATAAGTAATTTAGAAAAGGGAAAGACGGAAGCATCTCGGTTTTAACAACCGAAATTATTGAAAAATGAATAAATTCATTTCGGAACACCGAACCAAAAAAAATTGATAAAAGCCCCTCCTGGTTTTAATCGAACCCACGACCTTTGGTATACCGTACCAATTTTAACAGCTTGTATAAATTTTTATACCATTGCCATATAGATCCTATAATGGCTGGTTTATAGTAAGCCAGTAGAGAGATGCCAAGTAACCTGTACACTATTTTATTTGCTATTTCACTTTTTTTAAATTATTTTAAAAAATTTGGCGCTATGGTAGCTAGGTATGTTAATATTATTTCCAGTTTAAATAGAGTCTGTATTTATAAGCTGATCTTGGTCAAGTCGAACTTGAACGAAAATCGAAGATTGAAGTTCCAGAACGTTCAAACGTTGAACTAGAATTTTAATTCATTTAGAAAATAATTTAATTCATTTAGAAAATAATCGTAATACTTCCATTGCTACAGTCAGGTGTTCGTTCTGGTTGTAGATGTGCGAGAGCTTTTCTATATGTGACTGACGATATCTACAGAAGGGATATTGATGCCAAAAAGCAGCGTTTTTTGTTTGAATATTCATAGCATTTTAAACTATTAATTATAAACTTCGAATTTTCAACTTTTAAACCCAAAAAGCAATATAGAGTGCGGGTCTAAAGTCCCTCCCCCAGTAATTTTTTTGAACCGTAAATGTTAGAAATTTGAAATTTTGGGAAACTGAACTAGATTAGATTAGATTAGGAGTTGGACGTTATTTGTCCTTGTCCACCGCGACCTTTTCAGATCTATTGTGGGACTCCGTTTGTTTTAGAGTATGTCGTCTAGCCTGGTCTTTTTTGTTAGACTTAGTAGCTTTGACAGTGGCTCCCGCATGTAGTTGCATGCAATTGGCTTTTCTTCGCCCAATGTTAGAAACCTCATTCCAGCCAAGCCTTCACATTGGCACAGGACGTGGAATGATGTTTCCTCTTCTTCTTTACAGAACCTGCACAAAGTTGCTTCTTCTGCTGGATTTATGACACTCATGTGCCTTTTGAGGCGACAGTGTCCAGTAAGAAGGCCTACTGTTATCCTAACGATTTGACGTTTTTGATCCAGTAGGTCTTTCGTAAACTTGGCCGATGGTTCCTTGATGAACTGTTTGGCCTGTCTCAGTCTTGGATAGTTGTTGTACCATTCCTGAGACTCTTTTTGCATCCATTGTTTAATGGATGCCTTGCACAATGCCTTAGCAACTCCACAGAAGGGTTCGGGGCCTGTCATGGCCTTATCTGAGCCTTCTCGGGCTAATTCGTCGGCCTTTTCGTTGCCCTGATATCCCAGGCTAAGGTCACCTTATTTTGACTACTCTGTCAGGTCTTCTAGACAGTCTTTCACCAGTCGTGATTTGATTTCTGGTGAGAGAATTGCCTTTAGAGCTGCTTGGCTATCAGAGTGTATGGCAATAGTTTTGCCTGATACTTGCTGATTTAATATTTCTCTTGCACAGTGTTGTATGGCTATTAGCTCAGCCTGGAACACTGTTGCATATTTTCCTAAGCTTAGTGAAATCGTTGATTTCGACTTAGGTCCATAGATTCCAGAACCGGCTCCTTCCTTGGTTTTTGAACCATCTGTGTAACAGACGAGTTCAGCCTGTACGGGAGGTCCCTGTTTCCAGGATTCTCGGGCTATTTGAATTTGAAATTTTTTTTCAAATTTGTATGTGGTTATGGCTTTATCAGTAGGCATAGCTAGAATATTATCCCTTTTTACTTGCTGATATAGCCTTGTGTGCTTATTGGGTTTTGTCCCTGCATTAGCCTGGAAATAGCTGACCTGGTTTCTCCTTGTATAAAGATGTGCAATGGCGTGAGATTTAATAATACCTCCATTGCTGCGGTCGGCGTAGTGCGCATGGCCCCAGTAGCACTTAGACAGGCAAGCCGCTGAATGCTAGTGAGTTGGCCTATTGCACTTGCCTGCGCAGTTTTGGTTGCCCACGCCACTGCGCCATAGGTTATCATGGGTCTTATTACCCTTGTGTATAACCATATGGTCATTTTGGGGTTTAGACCCCAGTTTTTCCCACATATTCTTCTACAGCTTACGAGAGCTATTGTAGCTTTATGTGTGAGTTTTTTGAGATGTTGATTCCATGTCAGCCTTTGGTCAAATATGACTCCGAGGTATTTGGCTTCTGTGACGAATGGGGGATAACTGTGCTGTTTAGTACTAGTGGTCTTAGACCTGTAAGTACCCGTTTTTTTGTGAATGGTACAACTGTTGTTTTTTGTGCGTTGATGGACAATTGTTCCTTTTTGCACCAGTTGTTCACTATGTTTAGAGCTGTTTGAGATCGCAACTGTACCTGCAAATCGCCCCCTGACTATGATTGCTAGGTCATCTGCGTATCCTAGGCACTGGTAGCCTTCTTTGGACAATATTTTAAGTAAGTCGTCCACAAGAACTGACCACAGCATTGGAGGTAGTTTTCCTCCTTGTGGGCAGCCCCGTGTAACGTTTGCCTGTATGGTTGCCTTTCCTAGAGTGGATAAAATAATCATGTTCTCTAGACAGGCAGTGATCCATTGGCATATTGTTACTGGGACGTTTCTCCCTTCTAGAGCCTTGGTTATTGACCTGGTTGAGGCATTGTTGAAAGCTCCTTCAATATCTAAGTTTTGGAAGTTAATTTTAAATGGGATCATATGGCAAGTGATACATCATTTAAAAGCTTGTTCCAAACCCTTTTCAATGACATCAATAAATATAAAATTTTTACTCATAACGAATCCTTCGCTTTAAATTTTCAATGCTATCAACTGGCGTACTACAAATTTTTCACCTTTGGCACTGTACTATTCTCGTTTAAAATCAAAGTTTTTATATGTCAATTATTAACTGAAAAAGTAGAATTTTAATGGAAGGGGAGGGACTTTATACTCGCACTGTATACACGTTCTTATATACAAAAAAGCTTGGCAATGCTTAAGACGCAGATTTATGTATTAAATTTAAATCTAAAAAGATCAATACCACAGGTATCATTACCTAAACTGGTACCAATCCAATTTTGAGATACAATCTCCGATTGTAAAATTTAATTTAATTTCATTGCCAAATAATTGAACGTTTAGTCATTTTAGGTTTTTTCGCACAAAAAAACAACGACTTAGATCACGATTTATAGGAGACAAACTTAAAATTAAATTATTTTTATTCTACCCTTTATCGAATTTGACGAATCTTTATTTTTCACTATATAATCCAAGTTTTCAAGATATTTTGATAATTCTTTTTTAGTTGAAAAGGAAAAATTTCGTCGAATCAAGTGAAAAAAAAAATTGTTAAAAAAATCACTTATGATTAGTATTAAACGGAAAATTGTTCTACAAACTAAAAGGCATACGGGGAGGCATATACAGGGTGTCCCAATGAAAAGTAGCCCGTTTCCATTTGATAAAATTTGGTTACGATGAATTTAAAACAGGAGATTATTAAAAAACACCCTGTATAGGTAATACATAATTATTTCTGTGTCACTGAAGCAAAACTTATAGCAAAATAACATATCAGCAAAAACCGCACGTTTCTACGATTTGTTTAAAAGGTATAAGCTCTGGAAATGGGCTACTTTTCATTGGGACACCCTGTATTATGTTTGAGGTAAAAAGTTACGACTGGTCTGAAGGGTAGAGTCTAAATACTACAAAACTACTCAAGACTAAAATAACTTGTCTCCATTCCTGCTTTTAATAAATAAAAGAAACTACAAAGTTGACTCTAATCGCCGAAGTTGGCGACACTAAATGAATGGAAAAATCCTTGACATAAAAACACAAAATATTAAAAGTTGGATAGTAGAAAACTCTTTCATACACTTCTCTAAAGTCAAGTACAGGGTTATTCATTATAAATTATCCACCTCTTATCGTTATTATTGCATATAGAAAATAGTGTTTTAAATTAAAGTTGTGTGTCTTTGATTGAATTTTGTTTTAGTCTGAATAAAAGAGGAGTTCGGTAAAAGTGGGGATATTACGTCACATTCCATAGGCGTTCTTTGCCAAATTAGGTTTCTATAATATAAATAAGGACACGGCATATAAAATGGTTTATACGCACTTCGTAGATTACATTTTAAATGAGAAAAGTTGTATTATTTACAAAAAAATAAAAATAAACCATATACTTTTCACAAAATTGTTGCATTTTAACATTCAACGAATTAAATTTAACCAATAAATAATGAGATTTATATTTTGTAACAAAAGTAACAAATCAAAGATTAAAAAAATAAAAAGTTCAAGAACTATCTTTAAAAGTCACTGTCTCTACTATAATTACTGAGGTTTATTTATTATTAATATTATTATTAAGTTTTCCATTCCTATATCCACTTTCCAAAATGAATTTTCCACCTTTTTAACATGTTCAATGAATTTTCTCCAATGTTCACCATTTACATATGAAACTGCCTTTAAAAATAAATTTCGCACATCAGATAATTTAATAGTTTCCTTTTAATTGTGACCAGATCAGTTCAATGGGATTTAAGTCTGCGTGGTAAGGAGGACTGATAATATTTTAAGAAGGAAGCCATTTTGAAATATCTTATTTTTCCATCTTGTTGTAGGAGCCACTAACTCCTTTAATCGACTGTGATAGGATGCATTATCCAAATTAATAACGGAGTTGGCTGGATTTTTTTATAATGTTCTGAAACCAATTTTAAACATAGGGCCATCCATTTCTTTATGGTAGTCTTTTGTTTTCTTTGACTCGCACATTAATAAACCATCTGGCAAAAATCCATCGGTGCTTCCAATGTGGGTTATTATTAAACGACTTTCTTTTCCTGTTGGATATTTTAATCCACAAGAGACTCATTCCATACGGGCTTGTTTTTTAGTTTTGATGGAGGTAACATGCCAAATTTGTTAACCCATATTTCATCTAAATAAAATACCTGTTTATGCTGATTGCTTGCGTCTGCTATTTTCCTTAGGGTCGGTCTTTTCACCTTCAGATAAAGTTCTAGTTAACCAACCAACGGATATATTATCCGAGAGTTACTATCTCATAGTTAATTAGGATTTCGTCCTTGAAAAATAATCTGTAGGGTAGTTATCTGGTACTTTTTAATATTCTGTGGTCATATAATTATCTTCATATCAAAGTATTTATGCATGCGATATGTCACTCTCACTGTCACATGTTTTCGTTATTTCGTTCTGTCACTTATTTGGAAGAAGCTTTTGTATTTTTCTGAAATTATTTATTATTAAAAACTCCATAAAGCAAGTGACAAAAAATGAAAGATCGACTAAATATAATTAACCAAGAGGATGTTTGAAATACAGAGCAATACTGCAAAATAAAAAACTGATTCTGAAGTCTGTTGTATTGTAATTAACATAGATTGTTCATTTGATTGAATTTAATTTTTTAAAAGTGTAGTTTTTTTTTATTGTGTATGAGTGTACTATTGGTGCGGATGGCATTAGTTTTTTTGCCATATACTATTTTATATGTAAAGGCTGTTTTTTTTATTATATCGCTTATTTTTCCTACTATTTTTTCGAGAATAAATATACAAGTATACGAAACAAATAAATTAACCACTATTTACAAAAAAACATCTTCATCTACGTCCATAAAAGCACTTAAAATAATATATTGACTCGTATCACCTTGCGTGTCACATATTATTGTCGTAGGTATACTTACATACTTATCCGTCAGTTAACTGCTTTATCAGGAAGCAGCGCCGATAAGAGGGGGGTAGCCGGGACTAATTCCCGGGGCCCGGGTTCAAGTGGTGGCCCCGAAGCGGTATAAGGGGGGCCCGGCAACTCTTGGCGAGGTTTTTACTTTCAAACGTTCGGCACAAGAGGGGGGAAGTTTAAGCTTGAAGACCTTTTTTTTGTTTTAAAGAAATTTAAGTAAAGAGGAGAAATTTTTGCTTCAAGACTTTTTTTATAAAATTGTCGCGGGGCCCGGTCTGGAGAATTGTCCCGGGGCCCGACATGGCTCTCGGCGGCCCTGTCAGGAAGTTCAGAGGTATGATAAGTTATCTTTCAGATTAGACCACCATTTTATCTTCCAGTTAGTTTTATCTAGTGGTGAAATGATGACTTTTTAAGTTATCTGGAAGATAACAATTATCTGACAATTCATCTGAAGGTAAAAAACCGACCCTTAAACAATCACGTCTCAACGCAATGATTTCGTCTTTCTCTGTTGAAAAGCTCTTTCTGTCACGTTTTTTGTAACGAAAATTTAATTCATGCAATATTTTTTGCAGATGGAAATATGATATATTTGGAAGAGTGGGGCTATTTTCTATTTCTGAGTGTAGGAATTTCGAAAGAAAAAAGAATGTACCATTTGCCCAAGTTTCAATAAAGCTCTTGAATCTTCCTTAGGGCTTTTTCGGATGTGTGACTTCTCCAACAAAAGTATGTTCTTTAATAATATTATACATTGTCCGCTTAGATACTCCAGTATTAATCTTACATTTAGTGGCCATTTCATTCACAGAAAGTGAAACAGTCTTTTAGAAGATTATTAAATACATTAAGTATTTTTTCTTCTAAAGATAAGTCTAATTAAAGTTTAGAAAATGTTTCACAAGGTTTTTTTAATGTCCGGTGCAAGTTCAAGTTGAAGCTAGGTTATTTGTTTATAACTTTTGATGGGTAACGTTAATAAAAAAATTTCATACGGAATAAATTTCTAATAAATAGTTAACAAAATGATCCCATGGTATTTTAGAGTTTCATTGAAATGGCCTTGCCAGTTTCCAGGTGGTCTTTATTAAACTTTGACATAGCTTAAGAATATGAACTCTAAATTACAGGTAAACATCTGTCAAAGTGTATCAGGCTCATGTACAGTGTTGGATTGAGCTGTCGATCTACCGGTCAAAAGACCGATTGGCCCTCGTTCAAGCAGTGGGCCCTCGTTCAGGCAGTGGGTCCTCGTAAATTAAATGAAAGAAACCCTGTAATACGTGAGACGACCTTTTTTGCTCTTCAACGAGAAAGGACTTTTTTTTGTTCTTCCATAAGAGAGGACCCTTTTTTTGCTCTTAAATGAAAATCAGACCATGAAAAAGGTGGACCCTTTTCCCTCCTGACTGGTAGGCTCTGGAGGTCCCAATCCGACACTGCTCATGCATATTAATAACGTTTATGCACCTGGCTGCATATCCTTTAGTCTATTATAGACGAAAGTCAACACTTAATTGTATGAGCTAATATTGTTACATATCTATAATAATATCATCGTTGAAGTATCTTTAAAACTGCCGCTGCAGCGAAAACCAAAATTTCCATATTAATTTTCTAGCGCACTGAACGATAACTATTAATTTTGATGATAATATCGCAGTTATTCATGATTTTCGAGCAGTGCGTGATCTGGTATAATTATAATAAGTAAAGTCTGCTTTTACGTGGCTTTGTGAACCTCGCCCTAAAATTTCCACTATAAATGATGACAAATCTTGTGCTTTTTTTGTGAAATTATTATAATAAAAAATATACAATCATTAATTTCAATATTTTTATAAATTTCAATTAATAAAAAGATATAACAACTAAGTCTGTATCAATGTATTGTCGTTAATAAAAAATCCCATTTTCCCCCTACATGTTATATTACATGCTTCTGCCTCGTTAATTTACACATTCTTTTTGTTAGATTGTATGGTTTTACTAAAAACTCTTTATTTAATGTTTTTATGTCTGACGATGGTAGGTCCATCGAAACTAGTTGCAATAAATCTTTAATAACATTTATAATTGCCCATTTTTGTTTTTTTTTTTATTTAGAAATCTTCCGCTACAATAGACAAGAATTCCAAAAAGAGTGTACTTACAGGTTTAATATCACGATGTAAGAAGCCGACAGAATGTATACTTTCGATGGCCTTGAGTATTTGTAAACCTAATCGCAAGGTCGTCGACAAACTGAAGGCAGCTCTGGGTTGGGCTCTTCTCAGTTCCGCCAAGTTACGCCCTTGCAACTGCATCACAACATAGTTAAATCTGTCATTTCTACCACAGCCAATAAATCTAAAAATAAATAAATTCTATTATAAAAATGTTGTACAACGTCCCATCGCACCAGATCTGGTTTTGCATTCACTGTTTTCAATTTTAAGGATTCGTCAACCCATGCGGCCCTGGTCGCGATTTGACCGCGGCTGCGGTAACGATAATAGCAGCGGCAGTGGTAACGCTCCAACCAGCCCATTTATTACAATAAGGACACACACATACAAATAATTTTTAAATTACATTATATATTAAACCATTACAGTATAATACTGCATTCACTAACCACCACGTCTGCATTGTATTATAAGGTTTGTACTTAGACCGCTGCTACATTGGTTTGCGGAATTCCTTTACCACAACAACATTCAGAACTTCTTTCCTAATAATTCTTCTTTTAGGAAGCAATGGGCTCGTTCACCGTCATCAAACGGTTTCGTACGATTACGAATGGGTAACGGTGAACGAGCAAACTCGAAACAGCTTTTTTGAAACCGTTTGTTAAAACGTAAAAGCGAAAATTAAAGTTTAACGTTTAACAATCAACGAAATTTTACATTTGACAGATGTTTTGTGATTTGTAATGTTTGTTTTGCGTTTAGTTTTGTCAAATACGCCAAATAGTAACTAAAGTAAGGGTTCTGTGGCACTGTTATTTGTGCAAGTTGAAGTAAAATGTGTCGTAACATATTTTACCTTAAAATAATTTCAATACACGACTCAAAATGTTTGGAATAATAACTGATCCTAGGTTTATTTAAAGTAGAAACGCTATAAAGATATGTCAAATTATTTTAAATTTCAACACCGTCTGTTGTTCGTTCACCGTCATCGCAACTGTTAACACGAAGCTTAGAAACGTATGATTCCTAATCAAATGAAACTGTTTGATAACGGTGAATACGGCCAATGTTGGTAGGTGTAAATTGGTATGCAAAATATGATAAATTTCGAAAACAAATTATTGCTGATATATCCAATTTGTCTATTTAAATTCATGCGTTAGTATTTACACCCCTCCCTATCCGATGTCTCTAATTTGAATTATTTTAATATTTTCTTATTTATCATGTTATTTACTAATGTAATAAATCTATCTTAATTTTAACGTAATTACCCCTTTAATTAGGCCAACGGGCTTAACTGGATAATAAATAAATAAAACCCTTAACATTTTCGTATTTTACGAAAATTCGGGTAGAGGATGTTTTTAAAGAAATTACAAATGTTTGACTGATGATTGTAGTACTCGTATCAATAATAACGAATATTAATCACCTGAGATATGTAGATAATATCGTATGCAGGTTGTAGACAATTTAATTGCATACCATTGCGATTTCGTAAATCCCTCGAGATGCAAAGTCAGTCAAATGGGAAAATGAAACTAACGTACTGAAATTCGAGGTATGAGGTCCGGTTTCCAATTTATTTGAAGAGAACTAAACAGGGCAATTTTCAATTTTTGGCTGTGGTGCCTTAAAAATTGTGAAAAATGGAAATAAGGTTTTTATTTAACTTTAGATATTGTACGTTTCTACAAATAAATTTCAATCCAACGTTTCGTGTCTGAAGGGCCACCCTCAAGATTCTTTTTTAAATACAAATCTGTATTTTTGTTTTATAATATGAACTAACCTATATATTTGAGAAATTGCTCATCAGAGTAAACCGAACATCTTGAAAATTAATAATTCCTTCTGAGCCTTTATTTGAAGTCCGTTTTTTGCGAAATGTTCAGGTAAATACCGATAATAACAAAACTTAGGATGGAGAGACCTTAAATTTTCGGGCATTTTTAATCGTCACAATACCAGAAACTGGATTAATGAAAATCAACATTTAATGTTTGAAAGGAAGCTTTGGAGTTGGGGTGTTATGTTTTATTTTGGGCAGACATATAGTTCATAGGATTTTTGAAAATATTCCATTAGCCCAATATAATGCTGTTTACCTAGAGCAAGATGGTCCCCAAGTCATAACTTTAGGTTCGTAAGGTCATTTCTGGATAATAACTTTCCTCAAAGATGGATAGGTACCAACGGACCTATTAGATGGCCTCCACGATTACCAGGTCTCTCAATATTAGATTTTTTTTTACAAAATGAAGTATATAAAACACGATATGACGGCATTGCAGAACTTTGAAAGGCAATTCATTTAGCTTTTCGAAATCTGCGAATGAGAACAATGGTTCTTTTAAACGCTATTCAAAGAATTACAAAAATTAGTTTTTTCTTTTTTTTTAATAATGTTATTTTTTGTGTTTGTTATATTGTTACCTACTTTATGCTACAAAACTATTGTTACAAACTTACTGTTATAAAAAACTCTATAGGTATTTTTTATAAAAAGATACCTATATGCAAGGTATCTAATTCTTCATTAGTAATATGTAACTTTCACTTGTTTATTATTGTTATCCATGGCCTACTATTAAATTATGCATTTAATTTTAGAAAATTGTCATTTATTTGCGTGTTTCTGAGAAAAAGTGCATTCTATTATATATTTTAAAAAAGATAAACAAAGAAAAATTTTATAGTATATAAATACAAGGTGTTCCGTTTAAAAAAAAACTTAAGTTTGCTTTATAACTCAAAAATAGCAAATATGTAACAAAAATTATCTACACCACTGAATTTTACAGGAAAAAATCTATAAGAACGTTATTTTACCTTTTCGATAAGTTGAAGAATAACGAAGATACGAGGAGGGTCCCAAAATGCAACATTTGCAAAAATGCCCTGTATCTTAAAAACTAAAGGGGCTATGAAAATTTTGTTAACGGCATTTATAGTAGCACAGTGTCATGAAAACTGCAACCCGTATTCAAAGAAACAATCTTGATGGTGGTCCTTGAGACACGAAACGTAAATATCTTGGAAGCCGGACCTGTTATCTTGAACTTTAAAACAGTAACATGATCTCATAATTTACTTTTTCTCAAGGGGTTTAAGAAATCACAAATAAAGTCCATTTGACCAATTATGATGTGTTCGTTATAACTAACCCTAGATAAAAGAAACAACAGATGAAGCATTTCATTTATAACGTATCATTTTTTTGGTCCCAATTATTGGAAAAGAGAAAGAAGATATTTTATGCGGATTGAAAGAAGACATACTGTAATCCTAGATCTCGTCTGGCAATGCTGCTGTTACACGCAACTAAAAGTCTGTCGATACCAGCGGCGTATCTTATTAAAGATATTGCAGTAAATACTGATTTTGTGTATATTATAGTATATTACGTAACAAGAGTCGTAAGTAACCCATTACGCACGAAGTGAAAAAGTTTTACGAGTGCGTAATGGGCTTACAACTCGTACCATACTTTTTCTACGCCCACTTATTTTCTTCTATTAAATAAAGGGCATATGCCTTAATTAAAGTTTCATTTGAATTAAGCATTACTCATACCTAAAGTTAATAATATTGGGGAATATATAATTTAAACTTAAAAACTTCCCCAAAATTATTAACTTTAGGTATGAGTAATGCTTAATTCAAATGAAACTTTAATTAAGGCACTTTTAAATGGTAATTTAAAGAAATTAAGAAAATGATGTTTTTGAGTTTTGACTCACCCTGTACACATTTGTTTTGAATTGAAAATAGTAGTGTATGGGCATAAAATGTTGACTAATATCGAAACCTTTCTTGGAGAACCCTGTATAATTGAAATTATTTTTAAATTGTTGCTTTTCTGATATACATCTCGCTGTGAAAACAGACCAAGGCGTTACCGTTCGCCCACCTTGTGTATGTTTTAGAATAAATCAGTCGGGCGTCACTTCCGGTATAATCAAAATATTTTAGATCGATAGAACGCCCTCGAAAATCCCTCTTACTCAAGTTTCACTCGAATATCTCTATTCGTTTATGAGGAGTAGCCTGGATGAATTAGTCAGACATCCTGTAATGTATAGGTAAGTTAATTCGATCTGTTTGAGAAAATAAATTTTGTCTGAACAGTTCTCGATAAGTTCCCAATTAAAGTAAGTACTCGAAAACAACCAAAATATCTGGCGAATCTGAGCTCTTATGGTAGGGTCCGATTACAATAAGAAGAACAGAGCTATGCCATCATTTGGTAAAGTAATTAATTGGCTATCGCCGCCTACTGGGGGTTTAGTGGAGTGTTTATATTGTTGGAACATAGGAAATATGTTTCTATACCTAACAACTTATAAGGTCTGTTCGAGTTTAATAATAATTTGGAATTCAACTGTTTCACTAGTTATCAACCCTACTCATTCTTTGCTTATGCAGAGTATTAGATAATATATATTTTGTAAAAAATGGTTATGATGTAGCGCGGTGTTCTTCTTATTGTAATCGGATTCTATTACCTCTGACAATTTTCATTCTTTTTTTGCCAGTAGCAGTAATGGACCTTGTTTCATAGTTGTGGTTTGTCTACCTACCCTAAAAAATCCGAAAAACAGTTGTCCTTGTGACAACCATGAATGGCCGGATTATGATTACGAATTACCCTGTATATTTAAAATTTAATTTAAATTATGCACAATTCAAGATAAAAATCAACAAACAACTGAAATAACTAAAAACATATTTTCATTCCATTATTATTTTTTCATGCTTTATAAAACATAGTCTCTTTCGCGAAAAACAAAATAGATTTTCCCATAAACACATTAGCTTAACAGGTGTTTTGTTGTAGTTAGTAGAAGTACATGACCTTGGCGAGAATTACGAATCGCGTGATTAATAATTCAACGTCTAAGTTCGTATTAATTACAATTAGAACAAAGATCAGCGAGACAGAATAATACATAGCTATTTGTGTATCACCGGCATGGTAAGCGACATATTATTATCAGGACGATCCCATGGGTCCAAAAGACGGAACTTGCAAGTCCAATGGGACCAATACATATATTATGAATCGATAAATCAAGGGACCACCGCTAACATATTGTTAAATCCTAAATCATGGACAAAAATCAAAATTAATTAATAATTACGAATTATTCCTTAGAGGGTAACGAATGC